TGAACTAATGAGAATGATACATATATCTACTAATGAAGCCTGTAATTTAGATAATAAGTAGATTATCCACTTTTGTAAAGATTGCAGTCAGTCAGCGACAATGTAGGACTAGGCACATAAATGTATCGATCCAAGTTGCCACACACCATTAGCACAACAACATGAACACCAAATCCATAGAACCAGTTACTTCAATGGTAGTAATGTATGTAAGAAAGATTGTGTATAAGGACATAGTACAGGAAGAAAGAATTAGTTCGTAGAAAGCAAGATATGAAGCGATTTTAATCTAATAGTTTAAGGGGAGACAAAGAGGGTATATACCGGCACCGACGATTCTGAGTCATGTCACTCACAGTCTCCTACCATTGGTTACGAAAGGCACGGGAACTCCAACCGAGCAGTCTGCATCTATCAACATGGTTCAAACTAGAAGTTAGTGACTTCGTGGACAAATCCCACGTTTTGGTTTGGCCGCCTCTAACTTTCGACCAACCGTCTACAACACTAGTCAACATTAGGCTTCGTGATAATCGGTGTCCAGGTATACGTAACACGTGGCCCAACCATCTCAGTCGATGATGATTTACAACCTCATCAACATGTTAAACATCATTCCCTAATACCCTGCGTCTAATCTCACGCGGTGATTTCAGTAGATTTCTAAGACATCTGTGATCAAATACTAGTAACTTACGAGTATCCTCTACCTTGAATGGCCATATTTAGTAGCCATAAGACATAACAGAACGAACTGCTGCGTAGTATACTCGTCCTTTTATTGATAGACGGGTATCCCACCTTCGCCATAGGTGACATAAGTTGACAAAAGACAAACGAACTTTTTGAATCCATGCAAAGATTTCATCAGACACCAACCTATTAGAGTTGATCAAACTTCCAAGATAAGTGAAGTTGTAAAGATTTCGCCTGTGAATCAATTCACATTCAATATAATTACACACATATGCATGTACTGATTGCTTGATTATATTTATTCCGTAAATTCTCTTAAATCTCATATTACATAACAATTTACATGTTGACTAGTCAAAGTGAATCGATGACAACACAACAACATCACAATTTTGAGGCAACTGAACACATTGAAAAGAAGTAGCATATGAGTTTTCTCAATAGAAATCGTAGATTTTTGAATTTAGGTCATTCGGCTACGAATGAATGATACTTATTTACCAACATATGATAATCCAGTTAATTCAATTTTAGAGTTTTTTTTCATCGGCAAAATATGAACGAATGATATAACCAACCTCAGAGAACGTATCTTGAACAAGAGCTTAGTAGAAAATTTCCTGATTATTGTATTAAAAGTACTTTTTCGAACATTGAAGAGAGCAATATATTTGAGATGGTGAAGATTTGTAACTCATGTAGATGGTTTAGATGAAGCTTTGTTCTCTGAGTTGGACGGTTTAGTCGTAGAGCTTTCATTGTTCTTCTGAACGACATCATCAGCACAAACTTCAGGTAGAAGTGAAGTGTTCGAATTTCTCTACATATGGTTCACAGCTTGTCCTGTAGATCTCGATGCTGATTGGTTCTTATTGACAGGATTAAGTTCAACAAGAACCAATCAACATCGAGGTCTGCAGGACAAGTTTTGAATCACATGTGGAGAAGCTCAAACACTTCACTCTTATCTGAAGTTTGTGCTGATGATGTCGTTCAGAAGAACAATCAAAGCAATATACATCCCTCCACAAACAAGATTCCATGTACATATTTACCCTATTTCTAAGTATTTCACATGAACTGTGATAAAACAATTGGTAATAAAAAGTTTGATAATTATTTAAGTACAAGTATGTTTTGCACACTTAATCCCCTTTATTGTCTTAAAAAGGAAAAGAACAATACTTTTTTAATAACACCTTCAAACTCTAATCTTTCCGATTACTGCTTATACTCTTACTACCTGTACCACTACGGGATTTGAATCGACAACTGCCTCTCTGTGCTAATATGGTATGGGAACTCGAACTGACGTACGTAAGTACGAAGTTCTACGTTGTTACTGACTGACTGACTGACTGACTGACTGACTGAAAATATGGTTGATATAAATTTGTTTTTGATAATAACTTAATATTCAGAGTTATTTCCAAGTATATTCACAAATAGATACTCATCCGTTAAGATTGAATGAAGAGGTGTTCCAAAATACCGAATTAGATGGGGGTTTTTCTTCCAATTTTTCATAGATCTTTCTTCAACGTTCAATCGATTTGAAGTACACTATGAATATAGATTTATCAAAGTCGGATCATTGGTGTATTAGTGAACACTTCAGTGTATAATTTGAACTGATATCAATAGATTTTGCACAATTAAATTAAGCCAATTTAATTATGAGCAGTTATTAAATTTTACACACACACACACACACCGCCCATCGTTACTACCAATTAAATGGTTTAGTAAGGTCGTTGGATTTGTTTCGTTACAGTGGCTTTGCCGCTCGACTGATGTTGAGAAGATGACCTAATTTGACCATTTAGAGAAAGTAAAAGTTGTAAAAAAGGTTTTCGTAGGTGAACGTGTACAAGGATCATTATCATGACTCAAAAATAGATAATGAACCATGCACTTGGGGCTTTGCGCTGGATTGCATGTATACTGGCTTAGTGATATTTACCCTAGGCTTCAGTGGTTGAATAAAACGTGCACTTGACTTCATGCTGGACTGCATGTACACTGGCTTAACGGTGTACTGTACTTAACTTCAGATGTATTTAATGAAAATGAACTAAACAAATTGTAAACAATTACTTACTTTAATTGAATCATTTAGTATTGTATGATCATTGAATTTCTTTAATGGATTTTTCACGCTATTACAATCATAACTGTTTGTATTATAATGTGTAAAGTCCTCAGATGTCACAGAAAAACATGATGATGACGATGATGATGATGATGGCGGAGGAGGAGAAGAAGAGGAAACGACAGGAGATTTAGATAGATACGATACAATTCTCTTAGAATTATCAGTAGTAATATGATTATTATCATCAATTTGTTGATAGGTATCACCATCATTCATAGAATTACCATTCGTTGTTACTGATTGAGATGGTTGTTGTTGTTGTTGCTGGTGGTGGTGGTGGTGGTGGTGGTGGCGGTGGTGGTTGAAATGATGTAATGAATATTTCTCTTTATTAATTAATAAATCTAAATCATTTTTTAAATGAATTAATTGTTGATTATTTAAACCGATTACACCTAAATTAGTTAATTCTCTTTGTATTTCATCAAAAGTGAAATTAAGATCATCATCATCAGATAAAATCATTTGTTATATCAAAGATATCGATGTTGTTGTTGTTGTTGCCCTTATGTAATAACTATGAAGATGAAGATGATAATAGTGATGATTGTGATGTATAAAACAATGTCATTGTTTCAGATAACTATGATACGATGATTCCATCCACATATATGATAATGACTGATCATCAACCAATTAACTGATAAATGTGAAAAACAGATGAGGTAACTACTGAAACAAAAAAGAGAATATATGCATATGCCATTAATAAATATATTAGAGAAAAATGTTTCTGTTGTTGGCTTTAAATTGTAGATAGACCATGCTGATGAGTATCAACTTGTACAAATCGGACGTAAAACTCTATGTTGATGAATACTGTCCCCTTGTCACACTTGTGCTCATAGGAATGGTTAGTTAACATAACAAAAGACAATATCATTGAAAAGTTGAACCGATCTAAGGACACCATTGAAAAGCTGGAAGTGTGAGGGATCATAGATTAGCACTGTTGAGGAGTTGCATATTACGAAAGAAACAGCCATCCAGTGCTCCCAGGTTTTCAATGGTGGTCTAACTTAGGTTGGTTCAAGATTTCGGTTTAGGCACCCAGGCAGTATCCCGGTCCTCATATAAATCCAATGATTTATATGGCGCATATTTGTTTGGTGCCTCCGGTTCAAGATTTCAATGAAATTCAACAATCTATATAACCTGATAGAACAAACGATGTATAAAATGTAGCATCCACTGAAAGCTGAGCTGAGATTATTTAGTATTAAGCACTTGCGATGGTTTTCATAAAATAACATTCGTACACTAACCGGTAAAAATGAACAGTATATCGGTCAACTTAAATCAGTCAAAAATATAAAATACGAGAAATATGTATCGATTTAGGAATACATACCTACTTTAAGACAAAGATTAAATCTATCTGCACCATTAGGACGCTTCGGAGTCACTTCAACCAATTTATCCAACCACTGATCGAAAGGACCCTACTCAAGTAGCATGTAACTATTCGGAAGGATTAATCTGTCAGATACGGACTTCACGGACTGAACACACTTTTTGATGCAGCGCTGACAACCTCGTTCTAACCTACTTTTACACTAGTATACATCGCCAGCCGAGATAAACAATGATGATCAGAATATCTAATACATTTCGATGGAGATTCATTACCTCATCAATCGAATTGTCAGCTTGACCCAGTAATCTGAGCCTAACTTCAGCACTGTTCACTAAGTTGTCCAAACAAACCTAAGTAATGTTTTGAAAGTACCTATGATCAATTACTAGTAACTTATGAATATCTTTAATGGAAAAATTTGGAGACTGGGAAAACAGATAGCTTAAATGTTTTAATCAGACCACTTTATATGAAGAGTTCCTTACACATGATACGAATGATTATTGTATAGAAAATTGGGCTAAATTCGGTTAGGATAAATAAAATCGATTATCTACACTCGCAAACATATACGATAGAAACACCAATACACAACAAAATTTATCCGGAGTTCTATAACACAATTCGTAATAACCCATAACATTACACAACTCAAACAAAAGTAGTTAGTTAATAAAAGAAAACAGTAAATGGCAAAATAAGTTTTTTTTAAATACAATACATATACATTTTTTTTGAGAACAAGTTACAATCCAAAAGCAAGAGTTTTAAGTCTTTTCTGTACAAGGAATTGGATCTAAGAGAGATATAGAGAACGCGAGGGAGGGGAAAGAGAGGATATGTGAACTTCTAACAACAGAAACAGTTCAAAAACGCAGTAAGAATCCTTTATCTACACCACTAGTAGTAAAAGCATCACCTGATCCTTGATTTGCTGTACCTGGACGTGAATCAGACATATTGCTATAAAACCGTTGACCTCCCATAGGAGGCGCCGGAGGCTGATACCTTACACGACTACCACTTGTTGTGGCTAATGATGATGCCGCTGCTGCTGCGGCAGCAGCAACAGCAGCCGCAGCCGCTGCCAAAGCACCACCGCCAGCAGGTGCTCTAGGTGATGCTCTTTTCACTGCAACACCACCTTCAGACTTTGCTGGCCAACTTGGAAACATTGATGGATGGATAGCACGAGGACGTTCGTTGAAGTATGGATGAACAAGTGCTTTTTCTGCGGTAATCCGTTTATCTGGACAATATGTAAGGAAGCTGTAAAGACAATAAATGTTAAAGAAATCAATCATCTGTAAGAACTTTTCAATTAACTTCAACTTAAAAAACATATCTGTTACAAATGAGATTAAAACGTCTTGAATTTAAATTTACACCTAACCATTTCAAGTACCTTATATCATATCAATTACATTAGTGTTTGAATACGATTGGAAAAGAGAAGAACACTTCACAGTCAATTCATATCATTCTCAAATATTTGTTAGTACAGATTGATACTACAGTGTTGAATTGATCAGTGGCGGTTAGTACGTGTCACTCTGCAATTATGCACCGAGGATCTTCATTAAGCTTACAAAAAGTTAGAACAACTAAACAAAGTCATAACTATGGTTGAGGATCAACTGATAACTACTATTCAGCAGTTGAAGGAATACAATAGAATATAATAAATTCTACTGGTTCAAATAACAACAAATGAAAAATCACAAACAACGAGAAGAATGGGTTTGAAATATTGTTAAAGATATTACATCATATAAGACAAAATTAATGAGTTGTCCTACAGTCCTATTGGTCCTGTATTAATTTTAAAAAAATGATTTAACATATGAATATATTCAGAAACTTTACATCTCATACCTTTCATTGTTTACAGTTTTCTATGGTATTGGTGACCTCAATGATTTTTGTATAAATTATACCAAAAGCTAGAGATATTAAAAAAATAACATTAAACCTCATAGATTGTAATTGTCACAAATTGATTCCAGTCGGATTACTACTGAAAACCACTGACAAGTACAATCTACAAATTGAAACCAATCTCCACAAAACCCTTTCAATTAAACTTCAATATTCAGATCACTAGTGACCTACTTCAAGATGATTCTGAAGATCTAGCATGAAGTCATGATGGGTGAAGTTCAAGCATACGGGGAGTGAAACAGTTATCATAAATAGGATTCGATGATCGTCGCTTGATATCGCAAACCAACTGCGATTTAAGTTGCATAGGTTGCACAACCCCGAATACCCTGGTACGACCGAGAGTAGGGAGAGTCCACTCTCCCACTCCAAATGCTCTCACATGGCCACGCGCATACAGCCACTGCCACGGAAGTCCTCCTCACGGGATTCTCGTGGCATTACTGTTGTTTACGAAATTCAGAGGACGAAAAGTGGATGTCCGGTGCTTTAACCGGGTTGGTGGACACAGAGGATCCACCTAGGGGAGTTGGAAAACCCTGATTCCAAGCCAATGATACACATAGGCTGATTTCAGGATCCTGAGGGAACAAATGGTGTATGAACCTATTGTTCGTCATCGGCTACCATGGGAGTGAATGTCATGACCTTGCTCCACTACCTTGTGGATCAGACCTCTAGGTCGAAGGCTCCGGGTGTGGTCTTTTGAACATACCGGAAAACGCAAATGGAAGATTGAAAGCAGCATATATGTATTAGGTAAATAAGTTTTAACTTCTCACAATAAAGATGAATGCCTCCTGCCTATAGTCTTGTCTTACAGTGGGTTCGGTCGCTGATATGAGTTGTACTTGCTCATAACCGAACAATCCTGTAATAGGACGAAATAGCAGTTCAGTGTGCACTGATTTTTAAAAGTACCTCGACTGACATCAATCTGTGACACATGAAACCTACAAAACAGATTGATCTTTACAGAACCTCTTCAACTAAACACAAAATAAATTACCGCTTTTTAACTGACCTATTCAGTAAATCAAAGCCTTGATCAGATATTTGTTTTTCAGTAAACCTTCGTCTTAATTGATTATACGGATATTCAGTAAAAACACATTTTTTAATTCCAGGCAACTGAGATACACCTGGCCATATACGTTCTGTTGGTGTGCCCAAATCTCGAAAAATAATATTTAATTCATCCACTTCACCTTTCCCAGGGAATAATGGTCGTTGTAGTAAGAATTCAGCGAAAATACAACCAACTGACCATAAATCAATTGGACAAGTATATTGTTTGGTACCTATTATTTTCAACAACAACAAAAAATATGGTAGTAATTCATACAAACGAGAGAGTTTAGTGAATAACATCTAAAATGCCAACTGCATCA